ACGCTGTGTTTGGCTAACTTAGCGATTCATTACTAGCGCTGTGCATAGTTGCTCATTGCTGCCATTGTTGTCTAGTGCTTAATGCTGTGTGCGTTGTTGCATAGACGAGCAGCGGGCTCTCTCCGGTAACTAAGGACCCTGTTAATAAAACAACCCACCGAATCACATCCTAATTGTTGTACTTGATTATTGTTGAATAAATTACGATCATTGTTGTTTGAGATTACCGACAATTCTGCTTCCGGTGTTTATGTTTACAGGTTTATTGTGCAATTAATTAACGGAGATAATTAATCAACACTCATTCATAATCGGGCGGTAGATTTCCACCAAAACGGACCTGCACCCTTAGCCTTGAAGGTCGCTCTGAGTGATCTCTCGTCTAGGGAAGAGCCTTGGTTTGGGAAGATTGTCTTCACCCCACTAGGAGTCAGACTTATCCTAACAGACTTAGGTTGGCCCGGGGGTTCCCGCCACAAATGGTGTCAGAAGTGGGATGATTGTGAATGATTAAGTTGATTTCTCTGTTGAAAAATTGAATTGCACGGTTGGTCTTGAATTGTTGTTGTTGATTTCTGTGGTGATTTCGGTGGTTGTTTTTAATTATGAGCAAGGGCTCGAAGGGTCGAGTGGGCACCTTAAGTGCTGAGGCCGAGGTGCAAAGACTGCGTTTGGAAGCCCAATTTCTGCAATGGGAAAATGACCTCATTGCAAAGAAGTTGAAGGCTGCCATGGAGTTGCAGTCGGGTGTTTCCCCAAAGGAAGGAAACATGGACGCGCCAGGTGGAAGCCGGCGTGTGCTCCATCGGGTTGATTCTGATGTTGAGCTCAGGTTGCCCGAAGAGACTTCCGGGTATGTCTCTGGAGCAACGGAAAGAGTTTCAGGCGCAAATATGGTGCCAGAGTTAGCCCCTAAAGTGGGGAGGGAGGTGACTTTCATGGAAAGTACACCTCAGAAAGGACAGAGCTCAGGGATATTCCCCCGAGCGCAGTCGACGCCTGTTGCCAGGAAGACAGATGATCCAAATGGTGATCTGATGTCGTTCATCCCTGAAGGTGGCTTGGAACGGGGTTTGGCGAGTACCAACCCGTTCGTTGGTGACATGGGGATGGTAACCCCTAAACAGGTGAAGAGCGAACTGTTAAGTTTTGCGACTCGACCAGTCAAGGCGAAGAACAACAGTTCAGCTGAAGTTGACATCTCGTCGGTAGGTCCGTGGCCACTGAAAAGAGAGGCACGGGTCCACGGTGATGTGGGTCAGATGGGTAGTTTGGAGCGACCAAATCGCAGGCCAAACATAACCCCTGATCGGTACAGCGGAAAGGTGCTCTGGAAGGAGTACTTCCGCCATTTTGAGTCGTGTCGTGAGGTGAATATGTGGAGCGAGGACCAGGCTGCGAGGTGGTTAGCCGCAAGCTTGCAGGGAGACGCTCTACGGTTATTCGGTGACTCTGGCCACAAGTACACGTATAGTGCGCTTGTAAAGTTGCTGGAGCGCAGGTTTGGGTCAGCTCGACAGAGTGAAAATTATCTCGTCGAACTGAGACATCGGCGCCAAAAGCCGAAGGAGACTCTGCTTGAATTAGGGCAAGCGATTCACGAATTGACAGCGAGAGCATACCCTGAGTTACAGGAAGATGCTCGTGAGAGGTTGGCTAAGAACCACTTCATAGATGCTGTTGACAGTCATTCAGTTAGGGAGGGCATCAATAGGGCTCGTCCAAAAACTTTGGATGAAGCAGTCCAGGCTGCCCTGGAGACTGAGAATTTCGAGAAGGTGGAACAGCACAGATTGCTGGACCGGAAGCCCGCTAAATTGGCAAGAGCTTTGGGTTCAGTAACTGAACAGAGGCTGGACACTCTCGAGGAAAATCTCAATAAGCAGGCCAAAACTTTGGACTCTGTGGCTGAATTGGTGAAGTCTTTGTCCGGTCAGATTAAAGGTCAAGGTCAGGGTAGGGGCGTGTTGTCTCCCCAGACTCACAAGCCCGGTATGCCTGAACCTGGGGCCTTGCGGTGTTTCAGATGTGGTGACAAAGGGCACTTTGCCCGGGAGTGCAAGAAAACTCCAAAGCAGGGAAACGTCAGTCAGCCCCCCGTAGAACCCGCGGGAAGGCTGAGTGGTCAAAAGGGTTCAAGAGACAACACAGTGACAGCGAGGGTGGTGGTGGAGAGAAAAAGTCGAAGCCTGGGGATGGGCAACGAGTCATAACTCTGCCTAATCCCAGTAGTGGAGCTCGTTATGGTTTGTTTGTTGATGGGATGGTAAGGACGACAAAGTGTCGATTTTTGATCGACACGGGGTCCACCGATACTTTGATAAATAGTACGGTGTACTACCAAATTCCTAAGGAGAAAAGACCCGTCTTACAGACGGATGATGTTCAGGTAAAGCAAGTTGACGGTAGTCAGCTAGCCGTGTTGGGTATAGCTTGGGTAGAGGTACAAGTGGGTCGAACCACGCACCAAGTCAGGGCAGTGTTTGTCGACATGAAGTACTGTGGTATCCTGGGCATGGATTTCCTGGTACCCACAGGTGGAAATTTAGATTTCCAGTCGAAAGAGTGGAGGCTCAAAGGTGAGCGAATCAAATGCACGAATGGTGCTGGCGAGCATTTTGTTGGTCGTGTTGTAGTTTCTAAAACTACGGTGATTCCATCAGGTCATGAGGCCGTGGTCCCGGGTATAATTGCTCGGAAGGGTGCCGACTTGTTCGGGCCGGCCATGGTGGAACCGATGGAAGGTGGCGGTGACCTAGCCAAGAAGGGCTTGGTGTTGGCCAGATCTCTGGTTGAGACTGAAGCCGATGTTGTTGCGCTGCGGGTCTTCAATCCCGGAAGGGAGAAAAGAGTTGCACGTGAGGGGACAACAGCGGGACTGATCTCCCAGGTGGAAGTTGGTTCAATTCATGGTGAGTTGGATAGGGTGACAAATGCTGGTGAAGAGTTACCCCAGCACTTGCAAGATTTGTTTGAGAGGGGTACAGCCAATGTGGAGGCTATCTACCATGAGGATGTCCGGAAATGTCTTGTAGACTTTCAGGACGTGTTGTCCAAGGGTGACCATGACATTGGTCGCACGGACGTGGTGCAGCATCACATAAATACTGGTGATGCCAAGCCGGTGAAAGAACGGATGAGGCGTCATCCGTATTGCCATCAGGAGGAAATCCAGAGGCAAGTCGGTGATTTGGAAAAGAGGGGGGTGATTGAACCTTCCGACAGTCCATGGGCGGCAAATGTTGTTTTGGTTGACAAAAAGGATGGTACGAAACGCTTCTGTATTGATTACAGAAAGTTGAATTCGGTGACCATCAAGGATGCCTATCCGGTGCCGCGCATTGATGAAACATTCGATGCGTTGGGTGGGGCGAAGTGGTTTTGTACACTTGACTTGGCGTCGGGGTACTGGCAAGTCGCTCTGGATGAGGACGCCAGCCAAAAGTCAACATTTGTTGTGAGAAGCGGGTTGTACCGGTGGAAATGCATGCCTTTTGGGCTGTGCAATGCCCCGGCGACATTTGAGCGGCTCATGGAAAAGGTCATGGCCGGCTTGCAGTGGGAAATCCTGCTGATTTATTTGGATGACATCATCGTGTTTGGTCAGTCGGTGATGGAGACCCTAGAACGTCTCCGAGTTGTGTTGGACAGGCTAAGAAACGCTGGGCTTAAACTCAAGCCCAGCAAGTGTCATTTGTTTCGGAGGTCGGTGGCTTACCTAGGGCACATTGTGTCCTCAGAAGGGGTAGCAACAGATCCTCAGAAGATTGAGGCAGTGGCAAATTGGCCGGTTCCAAGGTGTGTACGAGATGTGCGAAGCTTTTTAGGCCTCGCATCGTACTACCGGAAGTTCATAAAGGGGTTTGCAGAAGTGGCGAGTCCACTTCATGCGTTAACCGAGAAGTCAAGAGAGTTTAAGTGGACTGAGAGTTGTCAAGAGGCATTTGACGAGCTGAAGGGCAGGCTTCAAGCCGCCCCAGTTTTGTCATATCCAATGCCCGAGGGTGACTTCATCCTGGACACCGATGCCAGTGGTGAAGGTATCGGGGCAGTGTTGTCGCAGGTCCAGGGTGGTGACGAGAAAGTGCTTGCTTATGCGAGCCGGAAGCTCAGCAAACCTGAGCGAAATTACTGTGTCACTCGTAAAGAGTTGTTGGCTGTGGTTGTGTACTTGAAGTATTTCAAACAATATTTGTACGGCCGCAGGTTGACGGTCAGAACTGACCATGCCGCATTGCGGTGGGTACTTAATTTTAAGAACCTCGAGGGTCAGCTGGCGAGGTGGATTGAGGTCCTATCTCAGTATGACTTGGTCATTGAGCACAGGAGTGGCAAGAAGCATGGTAATGCTGATGGGTTGTCGAGACGGCAATGCAAACAGTGCGGCCGTGAGGAGGTGGTCAAGGAGGATGAGGCAACTGGTGTGGTACCCGAGGTTCAGCCTCGGGGGAGTGAGTTTTTGGTTAGGGGCGTAGCTGCCCAACCAACCCTGTCTCGCAGTGCTTTAAAGGAAGCACAGTCACAGGATGACACCATGAGTTGGCTCAGGAAGTTGAAAGAGGACGGTGATAGTCGTCCTGAGTGGAAGACGGTTTCGCACTTGTCGGCAGCCTGTAAGACCTACTGGTCACAGTGGGACCAGTTAGAGGTCCGAGATGGAGTTCTACATAGGAGGTGGGACTCCGACGACGGAAAGTCCATCCGGTGGCTGTTGGTTTTGCCACTGAAGTTTCGGAAAGAAATTCTGTCGGAGTTGCATGGTGGGCAATTTGGGGGTCAGCAAGACTCTGGCCAAAGTCAAAGCCAGGTACTTCTGGCCAGGCATGTCTGCGGACGTGCGGTCTTTTCTCCGAGGTTGCAATGTCTGCGCCAGGAGAAAGTCGGCTGCCAAGAAGAGGGTTGCGCCCCTACAGCAGTATCGAGTTGGTGTTCCGATGGAGCGAGTAGCAATAGACTTGCTCGGGCCATTGCCCGTCACGGACAATGGTAATCGTTGGGTGATGGTGGTTGGCGACTACTGCACTAAGTGGATGGAAGCATTTCCGCTTCCTGACGCTACTGCAGTTACAGTCGCGCACACTTTGGTGACTGAGTTTGTCTGTCGATTCGGGGTGCCCCAAGAACTTCACTCTGATCAGGGCACAAACTTTGAGTCAGAAGTGTTCAGGGAAATGTGCCAAATTCTTGGCATTTCGAAAACTCGGACAACCGCCTATAATCCGAAATCGGACGGCATGGTTGAGAGGTTTAACAAAACCTTGGTCAACATCGTGGCGATGCTCCTTGACCCTAGGCGTAGGCAGAAGGACTGGGATGAGTTCCTCCCCTTTGCGACCTTCGCTTATAGGTGCACGCCGCAAGACTCGATTGGGGAATCGCCCAACATGATGATGTTGGGGCGAGAGGTGAGTGTCCCAGTGGATCTGGTGACAGGGTGTCCTGAAGTTGAGGTGGAAGCCACTGCAGACTTCGCTGAAACATTGCGAAGTAATATGTAGGAGGCCCACAATAGGGCGAGGAATTGTCTCGGGAAAAGTGCCCGGAGGCAAAAGAAGAATTTTGACAGGAGAGCGTCTCAGCATGGGTTGAGAGAGGGCCAATTTGTGTGGCTACACAACCCTGCGAAGAAAAAGCACATGTCCCCCAAACTACAACTTAGGTGGGAAGGACCATGGCTTGTTGTCAAGAAGTTGTCAGATGTGACAGTTCGGATCCAGCTTAAGCGTAATGGCAAGCCAAAGGTAGTCCATGTAGACCGACTAAAACCGTATGTCGGTGAGGCAATCGAACCGTGGGATTGTCAGTCCAGGGATGAGGTGACAGAAAGCCTCCCCATGGATGCAATCCCCGAGGTTCAAGATGACAGAGAGTCGTCTGAGGAGTTGGCTGAAGTGGCCGAAAATGAGGTTCCTGTGGAGGATTCCATCACTGAAGATTTGAGTCCGGGTAGTCCAGCCGATCAGTCAGAACGGCAGGATGAGTCAGCACCAAGACGGTACCCAAGACGGGCCCACAAATTGCCCCTTCGGTATCGTTAGAGTCCAGATTTGTTGTTGAGGTCATCTAAGGGATGAGGCTCCAGTCTCCCCTGTTTCATCCCCTGCATCCTCCACTCCCCCACTGGAAGAGTTGGCGAGAGCATCCCAGCCACGCCCGAAGTGTCCCATTCAAGAGAGACATCCCCCTGTTGAAGATGAGGACGGCAACTGTGCGGGTCCAGTCATCATCTCAGACGTGGCCGGATGGCAACATCATCGTCTCCCGAAGAGAACTACCGGATGAGCTACAAGCAAGTGTCCGTTGATGAGAACGGGCGTCCCGTCCCGAAGTGAACGACGCGTTCCAGTTAATGTTTTGTGTATTTAATCAATTTTCTAAAGTTTTCTAAGGTTTTAAACAGTTCTAATATTCACGTTCTTAAATGTTTACTTAAAAGTTTTGTTGAAAGCTTCATAAATGTTTTTATAAAAGTTTATTGTCGGTAAGGAAAAAAAAAGTGTATTTATCTAATGGAAAAATTCGTTGTTTAAACTCTGTAAAATTTATCCCAGTTAAATCATGTAAATTTCGATTTGCGAAAATTTTGCCATCAAATTTAATGTACATTTCATCAGTCTAAGATTATCCTTAAATTTCTGCCTTTAATCTGTGTAAAATAAGTGCAAATTTTCCCCTTAATTTTTGTGTGAATATTTAATGAACTAAAATTTCGCCTAGACGAGTGTAACTTTCCTTAAATTTCTTGTGAATATCTAATGAGCAAAAATGTGATTCAGAAGCTGTACGATAATTACCTGTGAAATCTTGTGAATATTTAATTAGCAAATTTTGGTGAAGTTGGACATGTACATTGATTCTCGACACGTTGTACTGTGCACTTAGAATCTTGTGCATGTTTAATGAGCTGAATTTTGGTGTTCTTGCACATGTGAAACACTTGTACATGTTAGTTACATGTAGGTAGGGTACATGTTATATTTCGCACATGTTAAGCACATGTACACATGTAAAGTACATGTGAGGAAGGTACATGTTATATTTTGTGAATATTTAATGAACTTTAATATCAGCTTCCTCTCTTATGTTTTCTTTTGAATTTCAAAGATGAAGTTAAACTTTATGTTTTCTATTGTAATTCAAAGAAAAAGTTAAGTCTTATGTTTTCTTTTGAATTTTATGGATGAAGTTAAGCTTTAAGTTTTGTATTGAATTATTTTGAAGATGTTAAGATGTAGTCACACTTTCCTTTTATTTTTGAATTATGGCTTTAGAGTATGGGGACATCCTCTGCCATGCTCGGGTCCTTGTGGCGGAAAGTGATTAGTTGTGACGTCATACCATAGCACTAACGCTTAATCACTTGTGTGCAGTGACCGGGCGGAGCTTACGAGCTCCGTGGGCTGCTGCGCGTACGTGATTGGCCAATAACTCCCATAAGTTTAGCGCACCATAGGATTAGTACACGCACATGGTTTGTAGACATGACGTAGCGTCTACATGTACCTGGTATATAAATGCGTGCCTGGGGAGCGCGCTCTGTTTAGAAGTTTAGCAGTTTGGGTTTAGAACGCGCATTGGTACATGGTTTAGCCTAGTTGTTGGGACTGATTGCTGCTAGTTGTGGAGATCGTTGTTAGGTGAGATACTATAGCTTGTTGAGTGTATAGTTTTGGGGCTCATCTGTTTAGAGTGTTGAGTGCCGGGTGTAGCTGCGACAGCGGGCAGAGAAGTAGGTGAATTACTGGTACCCTGCTTATGTGAAATTGCTTAGGCGATTTGTGTACAAAGTCTGTGTAGCTGTACTGGGGTCGCGCTGGTATGTGTAGCTGAATTCTGGCTTACACGCACGGCGTAGCGGGTACCCTGCTAACGGACTGTATACATTGCTAAGCGGCTGTTGTGTGCTTGTGACGCTGTGTTTGGCTAACTTAGCGATTCATTACTAGCGCTGTGCATAGTTGCTCATTGCTGCCATTGTTGTCTAGTGCTTAATGCTGTGTGCGTTGTTGCATAGACGAGCAGCGGGCTCTCTCCGGTAACTAAGGACCCTGTTAATAAAACAACCCACCGAATCACATCCTAATTGTTGTACTTGATTATTGTTGAATAAATTACGATCATTGTTGTTTGAGATTACCGACAATTCTGCTTCCGGTGTTTATGTTTACAGGTTTATTGTGCAATTAATTAACGGAGATAATTAATCAACACTCATTCATAATCGGGCGGTAGATTTCCACCAAAACGGACCTGCACCCTTAGCCTTGAAGGTCGCTCTGAGTGATCTCTCGTCTAGGGAAGAGCCTTGGTTTGGGAAGATTGTCTTCACCCCACTAGGAGTCAGACTTATCCTAACAGACTTAGGTTGGCCCGGGGGTTCCCGCCACAGATGTATCACATTCACATTTCCAACAGCAGCTCATTAAAGTGTCTAACGTCTGAATTTATGGGAATGGCCCTGCTGTGAAAAGTGGTCTGTCTTATACCTTGTATGGACTGTAACCCTCGTTTGTGTATCTTCCCTAACACATGCGAAGTAACACCATTGAGTTAGTACTCAATAAGGTCCAACTCCTACAGTACATTGACCACAATTCTAGTGATAATTTGCATTCGTAAACGCGCCACTGCCGGTAGGTTTCTAGACCTTGACTAAGGAAATAAATGTGTGTAAACACTATATTAACGACTGGTTGGAGTCTGAATCGGCATTTCAGACTCCAACCAGTCCTAAAGATAGTGTTAAATACCGACAAAGCACATATGTATTCCGATTCATAAATACGGTAAAAAAAATCAAACCTCGTAGGTCCAAAAGGTTAAAACAAGTCAAAAATTAAATTCCCCAACGATTTTGTTCAACAATTTTTTTTTTTTTTCGAAACACCCCTCTTGCTATTTAATGGAATGTCCACCTCGAAAGTAAGACAAAAACTACTCCTTTTATGGAGATTGGCGCGCGTACTGCGCGATGATGCGCAGATGCAGCTGTGGTGAGTGCATTGGGGGTTTGTGACTATAAAATACTGATTCACTGGTAGTATTGCGCATGCCTTCGTGATGATTGTGAACGTTCAACTAATAAAACGGTCAGGCACTGGATTTCATAGGAGTCTAAACTTCATGTGACACTTAAGACCAGCCATCCATGTCTTTATCATCCGTTTAAGACCGGCCACGTGATGAGCGCGCGACCAATAGAAATTGGTAAACTGTTCTAGGTATTTATGAGTGGTATTTAATTTAACGTTTCTGCCTTGTACATGAAAACAAACTTGGCATGGCAACAACTCGGCAACAACTAGATCAACATATCCCTGGCAGGCTTGGGTGCGCCTTGCGTCATTCGCCTCTCACACTTCTTGCTCACACTTCTGTATGTAGTTTCTCACAATGTTTGCACTCGTTTTTTCTTTTCTTTATTTTTCTCACTGAATAATGCAGTGATCAGTTCGGTCTCAGCCCAAATCTGTACTCTGATGATTGACCTAGGCCCACGCGGTTGCGGCCAGCGCACGGGGAGATTTGTCCTGCCTCCGGGCGATCCTTGCACCTGTACAGGGGTCAGACTGGGCGGTCATTACCACCGCTACGCGCCTGAGATTCAGGGTGAGGATCCACCGTTGTATATGGACATGCTGCCGGAGGTGACTGCTGAGGTCATCGGCCATTGGTTCAACTGCACTGAGAGCAAACTGGAGGAGTCGACGTTTGGAGTAACCGAAACTGCCACAGAGGCGACTCCTAAAGTTTTCCCCTGGTCGACACCTGTCGCATCCAATCCTACCAATATGACAGCTGCAGCTGTCAGCACCATCCCTGAGCCGTCGCTGCCGCCTGCAGATTGTCAAGACATTTTGGATGCTGGTCAGAATTCTAGCGGCGTGTATACCATCCGGCACAAACGCCAGAATATGCAGGTCTACTGTCGCATGGAGCCTGAGTCGGGGAAAGGATACATAGTGAGTAATGTTCCTCATTTCCTCATGTTATATTTCAAAATTACATGGTTGGAAGGTGTTTTGCCAATTTGGCTCCCAGATCTATTTGACATTGAGAAACACATGGGGCCAAATCCGGCTTTCTGATTGGTCGAGAGCCCGTCAAAAATGTGCTGAATTACCTGGTTAGACGGGCTTCACTACTCAGCAAAAACGCCAGAATATGCAGGTCTACTGTCGCATGGAGTCGGGGAAAGGATATATAGTGAGCTAAGTTCCTTTTTAATGCTATATGTTACAATTTTGTTATAACATGGTTGGAAGATGTGTTGCCAATTTAGCTCCCAGATGGATTTGACGTTGAAAAACAAATACGTGAGGCAATTGTGTTTTCAACTTGTTGTACCGAGTATTGTTGTTGGTACAATTGAAATGCAATGTAACCGCTGTAAACTAAAACATACGCGTGCTTTGGATTACTGCACCACTGACGATAATTAAAAAACACGCGCTTATAGAATAACGGGAAGCCGGAAGTTGCACCCATACAAACTGAAAATATTTCATCTGCTCTTATATTTTGTAAATTTCCATCAATTTCGCAAAACAAAAATGCGATTAAAGCGACGAGAATTTCCAGCCTTATTTCTCCCCAAAATAAAATAAAATAAAAAGTTTTAGCTACTGACAGACACTGGTTGTTCTCGTCAATATTTTTCATTGGTGTGCCTATGACTGTTTCGATTGTTTGTTTGCTTACTCCACAAAATGCCTGTGACGTGTGTCCTGAAACGCTACGAATTTGCGTTCAGATTCACTACCAATGTTAAACCCAAACAATTAAGGGTATAATGCTGGTGGTAAATGTGATTCAGTTTTACCGTCACTAATATTGTTTCTGACAGGTGTTTCAGAGACGCCTAGACGGATCGGTGAGCTTCAACCGAACCTGGCAGGAGTACGCAGAGGGATTCGGAAATCTGACCGGAGAGTTCTGGCTGGGTAACCAGAAGCTGCACAGTCTGACTCGTAACTGGGGGCGGGAGTTGGTCATCACTCTGAACGCGTTTGATGGCGACGAGGCCCGTATTCGGTATAAGTACTTGAACGTAGACTCATCTGAAAACAAATACGAGCTGTTTGTCGACGGCTTTAGTGCGGAGAGTGGAGATTCAGGTATATAGAATCCCTGTGCGTTCATTATCCTTTACATCACTTTGAGACTTCTCCTTTTGTCTGCACTTTTGTCTGAGGTATAATTCTGGTTTAATTGCGCTGCTCTCATCCAATTACTAAAACAGTGACTATTTTTGAATAGTTTTTTTTTGGTCGAATAGTCGAACATGAATAATTTAGAAGCATAACGCATATCGCTGGCTTGAAGCAGGGTTGAAACTGTTGAATAGTTCGTTCGATGCCCATGCAGCATTGCATCATGGACATATTAAGCTAGATAACCAAGACAAATAAAGAAAGGAGCCCATGTCTACAAAAATAAACAAAAAAATATAGGAACCCTTTCTTATGCCATTTTATAAGTAGTCCCTTTATTAAAATTTCATGAAGCATTCGTCACCCATTAATGTATACGTATACTTATACAAGGTCTGACGACCCGTTCTTTCTGGTGCACACAGGTGATTCACTCTGGCGTCATAGTCATTATACTGACTTCTCAACTCCAGATAAGGACCATGACTCCGACGGGGAAAACTGCGCTGAGAAATTCCACGGAGGCTGGTGGTACGAGTACTGCGGTAGTGACATCTTCAGTTGGTTCAGTAGCAACCTGAACGGCTTGTACCACAACAATGCAACGGTCGATGATTACATGGGGATACAGTGGGTCAGCTGGAAGGGTAAACATGTCTCTCTTAAAGGGTGCGAAATGATGACGCGACCCAAATGGTAAGCGTAACCGGTGATAGAAAAGATCCACAATGGGACAGCAGTGCAACGAGGGGGTTAATTGGGGCCCAGAACTAAGATCGGAGTATTTCAGTATTTCAGAAATTCAGTTATCGCAGGATAGACTTCAGCCGCACCTTTTTAAAGAAACGATAATGTACGGACCATCTACCATTCTATGCTCGCAAATGTAAGCATTTCCCCATTAAAACATGCAAATGTTAATATTTGTCGTGAGAAAAAACATATCATTTTGTTTGAGAGCAGGGAGAATATATTTAATTTGAATAAGAAACAAACATTTCAATTGTTACGGCACTGGTACTGTTTCCCGAGGTTCCAGACTCACATCCAGCTTTTCTCTGTTAAGTTGAGCTGTGATCGAGAAGTGAACGGAGGTTAAGTCAGTTACCAGCCTGGGTTAACCATAAACCACGTATTTACAGTGATCCATTGTATTTTTTTTTAATTCTCTTTACCCTATCTATCGAGTATCGATATTAAAATAAAAGACATCCCCGTGTACTGAATTTCAGTCGAAACACGGTATACGTCACGAGGCGTATCATGCGAAATGCATCATGGGAAATACAAGACCATCCACTACAAGAGTAAATTCTCGTAGCAAATCTGCAGATTGGCAATCTTAGTACATGTACATGTAAATACGTAATTGTTTCGTGTGCGGTATATTATATCGTGTGGTGTACTAGTTGAAATGTTATGTCTGACATATCAAAAAGGCATGACTCTTCTCTTCACTATGGCGATTCGTAAAATGTATCTGGACTTTTTAAACAATTGTGATTTAGTGAATATTTATAGCACATGAATATTCAGTGTATTTTATATGTAAACAGCATGATATCAATTACTGATATTAACCACAAGAGAGCTTGGCGGAATATGTACCTTTTCATTTTTTTTCCATTAAATCACTGCTCTATTTTCGTTTTTATAACAAGCAATCGGTCCATATTGGAGCTGCCTGCAGATTGTCAAGAGATCTTGGATGCTGGTCAGACATCAAGTGGTGTGTATACCATCGAACACGCATGCCAGAATATGCAGGTCTACTGCCGCATGGAGCCGGAGTCGGGGAAAGGATACATAGTGAGTAAAGTTAGTGTTTATTTCAAAACCTTGCTGCATCTTACAAGACAAAAAGGTTCGATGGATTGTTAATGTAAATCCAAGAGGAATTGGAAACGTTGAAATGTTCTTTAAGGAAAACGTGCAATACCAAGCACTATTATAAGTGTTTTGGGAAGTGGGAAGTCCGTGCGTACGCGCACCGTTGAATATTGAACCAGTAATTGTAAGAGTAACAACATCGCACGAGAATTGGGAAAACGCACCATACAAACTGCACGTATTACTTGTCCCAGAAATCTGCACGGTCTTATTTGTTATACAAAACTGCAATTCAATCGAAGTGAGTAATATGGGCTCCCAAGCCAAAAGAATGTTTTTTTAAAATAAAAACCCGTTGGCTTAAGACGCATTCTCAAAGCTTGTCAATTATGTCCTCAGCCGATGTACAAAACAAATCTTATATTTCAAACTGTTCTGGATCAAAGGTCCATCGTCGTAAAAATAAATATTTTAAACCGCGATTGGCAAAATGTTTAATCTCAACGAACCTACTGGAAAAGTGCATCCCGTACACGTACATATATTTATTACCGTAGCTCATAATTATCGTTTCTGACAGGTATTTCAGAAACGCCTGGACGGCTCGGTGAGCTTCAACCGAACCTGGCAGGAGTACGCCGAGGGATTCGGGAATCTGACCGGAGAGTTCTGGCTGGGCAACCAGAAGCTGCGTGGTCTGACTGGTAACGGGGAGTGGGAGCTGGTCATCACTCTGAAGGCGTTTGATGGGGACGAAGCACGTGTTCGTTATGAGAAATTCTCCACGGAATCATCTGATGACAATTACGGGCTTTTTGTCGAATACTTCAATGAGGAGAGCGGACATGCAGGTATATAAAACCACATACGTTCAGTATCCTTTCCTTTAGAACCTCTCTTATAACACACATTTTTCGTACAGTTTTGTTCGAGTTTTTTTTCTAGTTTTTCTGCGCTTCTCTTATCATTATTACAATAAAAAGGACTGATACAAACTAATTTACTGATTGTTTGAATCTGCAGGCGATGATCTGTTTCTCCCCCATTCCGAATGAATGCTTCATCCGGCCTCTTGCTTATTAACATAACACACACATTATCATGCAGTGGGATATAATTATCCAAAATCAGTAGCGTAACAAAAATTGGAAACTCACCAATCGGGTTACAGGCAGCATTGAAATTGTTGACTAGTATGTTTTATATCACTATATTAGTTTCATCAGTAATTTCATCATGAACAAATTCAGATGACTATGTCTAAAATGCTAAATAAAGTAAGAAGACCATACCAACCTCGTCCCCAGGGTGTCAAGCAGTACGCGCCCACCACTACCTGCTCTCTCATCCTGGTGTTGGATCATTTGCATGTGCAAGATTTTGGAGCACGTATGCAAATGAGGAATAGTCTGGTGCCTGCCCGTGCGTTACATTTTCTTTTGTTTTTATATGCGGTGTCTGGGATAAAAAAACAGAATCAATTTGTCGCAGCGCGAGCATGGCGTGAGTAACGAAAACGCGTCATATTAATATCAACGAATTGAAAAGGAATGCGTTTCGAGAATGCGTGGCCGAATGATCGCGAAAACACGTACTGCAGGTTGTGAGTAACAACACTAAGTACACGATATAAATCCAATTCTAGCAAAATTGCCGTATCGAATCGGGATACAGGAAGAAAGTTCTATCCAGTGCTTACTATTGGAAATAAAGTAAGCACTGGGGACGAGGTTGAGACCATACCTTAAAAGGTATGATAAATACAGAGAAATCCGTTCGAAAGTCCCTTCCCTGCAAAGTCCCTTCCCTGCAATTTTCCTACAGATTTCTTTTTTTTTGTCATAGTGGTGCGGCATAGCCACAATATGCTAAAGTATTGTGCAAATTGTGATAAAAGCATGAAACTTCGCATGTTGATTCTTCATGCCATGACAAAATTTTTCAGATAAAAAAGCCTTTCATATTTGACCTCTGGTGCCCTTAAGAGGTCAATGAACTTTGCATGCAATATTCATTATTTTTGTTCTTCAAAAGTTCACTTTCCAATGACCCAAGTCTATGTCATAGGTCTTCATACAAAGAAAATAACGATCAGAATTGGAAAAATTCATATCTGACCTCTGGTGAGCTTTGAGAGGTCAAATCACCTTTGTAAAATTGTTGATAGCTATTTGTAAGATTTATTCTTTTAACCGCATTTTTTTCACGATTCATGTCTAAATAAAAGGTGTTCATGCTGTAAAGAGAATTTTCATATAGGTCATTTCATATTCAACCTCTGGTCAACTTACGAGAGGTCATGACCTTTGTAAAACAATAGCCTACATATGGATATTAATAACATTTTCATAATTGTAAATGCCACTTTTTTCATGATCCAAGTCTAAAGCTTGACTCTTGGTACCATGAAAAGAATTTTCAGATGCGGGGACATCATATATGACGTATAGATACCCTTGGAGAAGTCAATGAACTTTGTATATCTTAGTTGCCGTTATTTATCATATGTATTCTCCAAAACGCCGTTTTTTGGTGACCCAAGCGCCAATAGTGCAAAGAATGGTATTGCACCTATTATTTTACAGTCATGTTATAAATTCAACCCCACAAACAATTCTGAGGTGACCTCTGACCTCGTTTCTCCTTGTTTTATTGGCAGACGCAATATGATGGAGATTGGAGTAGAAATCTGTGGGTCTGTTTTGTAATGGAAAGTGTACATATGTCAAGCAATATTAACTCTTATGTACTTATTGCATCCCGCTGTATCCACTTGGACTTGGAATGCCACGTTTTTAACCTTTGTACCAAGACCAATGGTCACTGTAAGAGAGTGATGCTTGTGCGATGTGTCGCTTATATTCTTTCATTTCCTTATAAATAGGAAAATTGACATGGGAGGTCATGCAAAAACATTCTTTGGGGTCTGACTTCATGACACGTTGTAGAATAATTATTAAAATACACTCCTTTTGCTCTAATTAGACTTCAGTCATGAAAAATGGCATTTGGAAGATTAAACATGATAAATAACGGCCGGCAATCAGAGTACACAAAGTTCGTTGACCTCGCAAAGGTCATCAGAGGTCAAATTTAAAAATGTCGACATATCTGAAAATTTATATTATGGCACGAATGCTCAACATTTAGATATGGGTAATAAAAAAAATGGTGTTTTGAATAGTTAATCCTCTTAATATCTATAAATAGGATATGCAATGTTCATTGACCCCTTGAAGGTCATCAGAGGTCAGATATGAGATTCCTACTACGAAATTCTTTTCATAGCATGAGCCACTTAACATTATGACTTGGGGCTTGGGAAAAAAAGGGGTTTAAAGGGTATATCGTATAAATAACAGAGTTAGTGCAGTTAAAACAAACGTCATTGACCCTTTGGAAGGTCATCGAAGGTCACTTGTGATTTTTTTTGCATTTGGTCGTTATTTACATTGTATGAAGACTATACAAAGACTTAGGTCTTAGGAAAGTGATATTGTCAAGAACGATAGGTATAAATAGAGTATTCAGAGGTCATTGACCCCTCAAAGGTCACCAGGGGTCAGATATGAAATGCCTCCATATCTGAAAAATTTTGTCATGGCATGAAGGACCAACATGCGAACTTTCATGCTTTTATCACAAAATGCACAATTCTGTCCCTATGCCGCACCACTAGTTTGACAATCCTTCCTTTCTGATGCACGCAGGTGATTCACTCAGGAGTCACACTTCGCACTTCTCAACTCCAGACAAAGACCATGACTCCGACGGGGAAAACTGCGCTCAGAAATTCCACGGAGGCTGGTGGTATCACCGCTGCGGTAGCGACATCAGCGACCACTTCAAGAGCAACCTGAACGGCTTGTACTACAACAACACAGCAGTCGATGATTACATGGGGATACAGTGGGTCACCTGGAAGGGTAAACAGGTCTCTCTTAAAGGGTGTGAAATGATGACACGACGTGCACCGTATAACCTGTGATCGAAAGTATCCATATTAAAATACAACAATGAAACTCGGGGGATAGAGGGGACACCAAGCCCCAGTACAAAAAATGCACCTTTAAAGGTAATTTGCAGCATCTGCTGTTGCTGTAATTTTCAGACAACAATGGATTAGGGGGTTAATATTATAAGGCAAATATTGTTTCATAGACTTGTTTTGAGTTCAAAGATGCTGGAAAAACACCTTTTAAATGTGCGAGGCCTGATTTCTGTTCTCCACTTTGTATAAAGGACAATCAATCAGACACTATAAGTTACACAAGGATCAGTGCTGCTGGTGTTGAAATTAGAAGCAATTTTATGAAATAAACATGCACATGGAGAACTGTACTCGTATTTTTGTATACCATGTGAAATGTACAATGCACCGTAAATCAAGTTTTTCATTGATATCCACAAACACTGCGTATACGCATCTCAGCTGTATCAATCAATCAGCTGTATCAATAGAGTGTCTTCAGTATTAATGTATCCTTGAACCAATGAGGTAGACTACATGTAGATGAAATCAAGTGATTTTTTTAAATCACAGATTCAATATAGTTTTTTTCATCAATTGATTGAGTTTTGTTGATGATGGGTATTATAGGAACCTGTAAACTCCTTAGTGATTTAGACACATGTTTAGACATATCAATATTTTGAAAGTAAAAAAACCCACAAAAACACGAATCTGATATAAATCTGATTTAAATAAACAAATCCAATTTAAATCAAATAAATCCTTTTTTTATTTAAAAAGAAATAAAAACAAATCCCGAACCCTGCAGAAAAAAAAATGACTTCGGTCGTAACACGGTATAAGTCAAGAGGCGTGTTGGCGTCTGGCGTTGGTCCGGGGCATCATAGGAGATGCAAGACGATCCCCTGTACAGGAGTCAATTGTCACTTGATATCTGAAGATTGCCAATGCTATTACATACTTAAATTGTTTGTGCGGTTTTAATATTTGAAACGGTTATGTGAGAAGTATTAAACTCTTGAGTATGTGATTTTGGTGAATTTAGTGCATGTATATTTAGTGTATTCGATGTCTAAGCATAATATCAGTTATCAATATAAGCCCTAAGAGATCATGAACGGAATTCGCCCTTGTTCTTTTTTTGAGATTGCATCATCACATTTTCTTATCCATTCGTCATTTGCATGATAACGTATGGCGCATGTCCACCCGCACGTCTTAGCACTTTTCAAAATAAATTTACTCGTGCCTTTCTTGCAACGTGTCCAATTTTCGACGCACTCCCGACTGCTCTTTTAGGGTTAAATTTCGTATAAGTTTTTATCAGTGTTAATACATGTTAGTGAAGTTAATCAATCAATGTATTAAATCATTTGTTGTAGTCCTTGTTATTGTATATATTTACATACATAATGGTTTAGGTCAACTACATTTTGAATTTTAGCATGTGCACTGAACCGTCGTTTGGAGTTGATTTAGGAAAAAACTGCTTACTTATGATTCAGTAGACTCTCAATTTTCTCAATTTGTGCCATGGATATGAATCGCTCTTTCGGCTCCAGGTGAACTCTTGGTTGACCTAACTTTATGACTATGACATAAAAGTCAATACAAGTCACTGTCGGTCAGTGAAAGGGCATGGCCATTCCTTGCTTTTCGCCATTCTTCATTAGGTGAATTTCTGGCCGACTTTCACCATACACTTTAGGGACTATGCGGGAGTATCATAATTATTGAAACTGTTAAAGGTTAGACAATTTACAGAATTAATTTAATCAATAACAGGGCGAAAATATGATGAAATATACATTGTGTTTAATGATTTCATCGTAAAGTATATATTGAATATAATATATTCAATATATAATATAATATATTCAATATATGAGTCGGATCCCGTATAATAAAATGTTCATATTATGAACATTTTATTATACGGGATCTGACTCAACAAAAAGAGTCACATGACGAATCACACGAGCTACTGCGGTGCAACAAGCCCGTTGACAAATCTTGCACAATGAAAATGATTTTGAAATGTCAACGGGTCCAATGTCTGAGTTCTTATAAATGTGAAACTGATTGACCAATAAGTTAAACGTACTCTCATATCATATACGTGGGTTGTGCTACAGAAATCAGCATTTGAAAAGGATGTGCTAAATTAGCGACAAATAAAATTATTGTAGTTGTAGCAATGTGTTGAATGTAATTGGATACTGTAACTAATATTATTCTTGGTAATTGTACTGCATAGCTGCATGGACAGCGTGTTGATTTTAAGTAAACGTTTACATTCAATGTGATCAGATTCACTAACAGTATGAAGTTGCCAGAGGTAATTTGTGAGCTACTGACACTTAAACACATACTTGAAATTCAAATTTCGGCTTTTTGTACCCACATTATTATCACTCTGATGTCCAGATTTATCAAAAAGAAACGCTGCATTGTCGCTTTCTTATGGAGAGACTAAATTGTTGTTGAGAGTCCAAGAGACTATTTTTAGGATGTAGTCGCATTATACGTATACTAATTGTCAAAACATCAGTGGTGAGCACTTGTACTTTGTAGCAACATGTGAAATGTCCTTTATTATTGTGATATAATAATTAGTGGTGATTAAAAAAGTAAGTGGCGTATTTGATATATTCATGGTGTAATATATATGTTATATTTTTCATTTACATTTAATGTGATCAGAACCAAAAATTATTGTCCAGAATAAATTTTGAGCTTCACCCGTCTTTCAGAAATTATGTACTTTTGGAATGTTCACAGAATTGTATACCCTTATAATGCTAATGGCAATTATGTCAGGCTGTCAGAATGAATATCTGTGTATGTCGTATATACATATATAATCTAAAATATGTGCAAATAGTGGCCCAAGACTCATTGTTTTCGGATCTGGTCACATTAAATGATATGAAATCCTTTATTAACCAATGTATTGAATTGTGTCAGTAATCATATATATAGATAGCAATCGAAAAGAAAACAGATATACTAGGAATCAATGATAATTTGAGGGTTTTGCATGCTGTGTGTGTTGCGCCACAAAATCAGGTTACATGGCTGAGTTATTTTAATTGATGTTTAATATCGTACGCATATTGTCATTCAATTTTTTCTTAGTCTTTCACGACAAGTCACGGAAGTCCATTTTAGTCAATGACAAAAATACCAACCTCATGACCCGATGTGGATGTAGCCGATAGCTGATATATCAACTCGATTTTTTTTCACTTAGTTTATCGATTGGTGTCCTGTTCTGTTTGACATTTTTTTCCACCATCTATATTGTGAATATGTGAAAGTGTCCTTATATTATGCAAAACGTAGTTGCAATAAAAACGGAAAGAAAATGGTATATAAAAAGAGTTCGAAAAGATAGAAAACCATGTAGGCCTATAGTAAATTGGTTGAAATGGTACAACTTATTATTACGTCAGTGCTAGTGATGAGGATGTAAAAGTCTGATTTAGCAGTTTTCTTTTTAAATGAAACATTTTTTTTCGTCACAAATGGATCCTGTCTGGTGTGCTGAAATTTGCAAAAAACATGTTTTTTTTCCAACGCTGGTCTGCCGACCAGCGTTGGAGCAAACTGGCTGTTTTTAAAAAACTGCTCCTAATTTTTCATATTTAGTTATTCCGCATTTCCTTTGCAATTGATTACACACCTATGAATGGGTACAAGCCTGCTGGACTGATTCTCTGACCTTACAATTGCCCAAAGCCTATAAAGTGTTCCGTTTCAGTCACTTCAACAATATTGTCAATAACATACTTATCCTCCACTTTTTGTCAGAAAATTGCAGACAAAGCAAATGTTGTGCATTCCTTTTAAAGACGCGCATTCAAATTCAGATTTCTCAAATGAATGAACATTTCAGGAATCCCGGGAAAACCTATATTATTATTTTTTTTAAAAGTTAACCAGAGTGTTGCAACTGCCCTGCTAGTACTTGAGCGAAAATACATGGTTCTCAAGACAGCATAATCATATCTAGAAAAGTCTAGGGACAAAAATATACACCGCAGTAGTGGATCTACAGTTTGTACACGATACAGTTTTAACACGCATGTATTAAAATACCTGCCTTTTGATCGATAAATGTTCATGAAATGCAATAAATGGTTGTGAATGTTTAGAAATAGACGCATTTCTCGTCTTGTGATGATTTCATGTCAATGGCTGTTTTGGAACCTTTGCCGAAACAACCTTTGTTCTAGTTTACATTGCTTTCTTTTGTTTTATTTTACCTCTTCAGTCACCTGCCCATAGCATTTGTTCACGTTTTTGTTTTTGTTTCCGGCACTTTGGCAAACATCAATCCCATTGCCTTTATACTTCACACAGTAGACCAGCAACTGCAGATGTGTGCCTTTATATACAAAACTAAATAGGCCGTCAGTTGAAGGCTGTATCGTTCAAGTTCGACTTAACAATTTTAGGCAACCTGATTTTTGGGTTGTATCTAGTTTTAACCATGCTGAACACACCCTAGATTTTCCCCAACTCAGAGGTTGCATTCCCACCCCGAAATTAGGCCCTGATTGTTCTCGAAATTTGAGCCCTGTCAGCGCAGAAGATAGCAACAGCCTCAAGCTGGTGCTCAGGGTAAACGCGGCGCGGTGCATACGTTTTTTTCCGACACATGTAGGGAATTAATTTCTGCACACAAGGTTGTAAACATGGCAGCGTCCGTGACACGCTGACTGCGTGTGTCGTATTGTTCACTTAAAAAGCAGGAATGACAACTTTACATTAACCAGATGGAGCGAATTTTCCAGTTATTGGCAGAAGTGAAAGGAACTGGAGAATGTAATGGTAAGGAAATAGCCCAAGCTGTTAAAAATGAAGCTATTTTGACAAGAGATTCCTCAGTCATGTTAGTAGACTGGGGTTATCATCAGCGGTATCATTATCAATCAGAAATGCTATGGACAAAACATGATCATGATGGAGGTAGGTCGGCATGGTTGGATGGGTTTCACCTACTGTTATACTAATATTCTGCCTTTGGAATGTCCAAATTAATGTAAGTTTTGTACACTACCGCATTTCAACATTTGTGGTGCTGAAAAAAAGCTGTGTACTCTACAAATCGCCTTTTAAAAACATTTAATGACTGTTAAAAAGGTGTCGCAAGACCATGTGCAGATGTTAAAAAAAGAAGCGATTTGTAGAGTCCTTATGCG